TGATCGTGTCTGCTTGGACTGGCAGACCTTCGCTCTGCTCTTGTCGAGTTGTTGCAAGATGGCAAGGGTACGCGATGCGTCTCCAAACCGTGCGTCTCGCCGCTCTTGACCTCTTGTGGCTTATCGAGCACCAAAGCTTTGCCGCTCAAGAGCCAACTATCTCTCCTCTTTCTGACTCCGATGGTCGGCGATGCTGCTGATGCGTTCGCCTGCCTCGAGACGCCAAAAGCGCCGTGGGCATGGCTGCTGCCGTGCAACACTTTGGAAGCGGTAGCTGGTATTCTTTGCGCCTCTTTCTCGGTGCGGAAGGAAGCGGGCGGAGTGCCAAGGACCTCTCCGACGATTGACCATCTCGACTTGCTCTTCTTTATCGACGAGGACATGTCCAAGGTACGAGCAGGAGCACTCGAATCGTGTGTGTTCTTGGCGACGTCGGTAAGATGGATGTTCTGGTGAGATTGCACGAGGTTGCGAGCGGGATCGTCCTTCTCATCGGAGCTCAACAGACTCTCCACCTCTTCCTCTTCGTCCACCCGACTATTTTCTTCCTCTGCTCCCCCATCTTCCCGCGCCTCTCCTGCATGACCCTCCGCTCTGAGCTCGAGCGAGGACAAGCTTAACACAGGTGAAGATTTGCTCCTGGGCATTGCTGCTGTCAAGTCCCCCTTGTTGTTCTGCTCCTCCTCCCGATCCCGAGCATCTGCGAGCTCGAATGCGGACCGAGCCTTATCGAGCTCCTTCGTCCAAGTCTCTTCGTCTGCACCTTGTCGCCTTTCGCCGCAATCCGCGCTGCCAACAGCTTTCAGCTGCTCCAAATCGATCCTCTCCAGACTTTTAGAGCTTCTCATGCTACTCGTGTTCCTGCCCATGTTCTGCTTCTTCTGACCGCCTCCACCACCGTGACCGTTGTTGCTATTGCTCATTTCCGCAATCCTCCTCTTCCTCTCTTCCCTGGACAAGTACTCCATGCAGCTCCTGACCATCATTCTAGTCCTCAAGGAGATGACCCTCTTTTCCCTGCGAGATGCTTCCGCTAGACGAGCTGCCTTTAGGGTGGGTGTGCGCGAGGGAGTGGATGAGCCTGAGCCTGAGCCTGAGCCCGATTCGGAGGAGGAGGAGCGAGAGGAGAAAGAGCACGCAGATGGTAGATTGGGACCCGACGAAAGGTTCAGGTTTACTATTTGAGGGACCAAATCGGACGTCGATGCTGACAGTGCTTGGCCTGTCGAAGTGGGACTTTGCATCGACGGTGTCAGACGCGCCAACGTCTGACTGTCTGCTTGCGAATTTCCGATGGCGCGAGGAGACGAGGATGGGGAAGAGGGAGGGGAGGATCTGCCTTCTCTCCACGATTTGCGCGCCAGAGCTTTGCGCATCGCAGCTCTCGAAGGCGAAGGGGACTTGGATGCTTCTTCAGCCTTTTCTGGAGGCCCATGCCCATGCCCATGCCCGTCCTCCCCTTGCGCGCTCTTGCTCGTCAAAGTCGAATCGCCCTGCACTTCTCTCATCTCCGGCCCCCGCCCTCGCACTCCATTCTCCACCTCCTCCTTGCTTGCTGGTCGCCCAGTCAGCTCTTGCGCTGACCGATATACCAAGCCGGGCACATCCGCACGCCTCATCGAGCCCAGACTGTTGCTCTGACTCGAAAAGGAACTCCTGGCTTTCCGATTGCCCGCTTCGAAGCTGTCCCTGGGAGCCGCTATCCTGGTCGATCTACTTGCGTCCAACAGGCGTCGGTTTATGGGTCTAGCAGGTGTGTAGAGAACAGGAGCTGCGCTGACCATATCCGCATCTGGCTGTGGAGCCGCATGGCTGAGAGAGCGGTTGGGATGCATCGCTGCGACTGCACTGCCAGATCCTCCATCTCCTCCACCACCAGCAGCACCAGCAGCGGCAGCACTGACCAGCTTGAAGTTCCACGCATTCAATTGAAAAGTGTCGCCCTCATCCAGCTGCACCGTCGAGCCAAGCTGGAGATGCACATCGTTTAAAGTCAAGCCGGATGCAGCGTCTACACGCAGCATGACCTGAGCCTGAGCTCCGAGTACAATGACAAGAAAAGCGGAGGTTCATCAGTCAAGACGAATGTACGAGCAACTGCACCACAGCCCCCTCTGCGTCTGCATCGGATGATCTACTCACCTTCGAGCACTCCGACTTGCAAATCACCTCGAGACGCAGATGCACGCTTTCTATGCCCGCATGCACCAATCTCAGCTCGTTGCTCTCCTCCCTTCCAATCCTCGTATATCCCTCCCTCAACTCAAAGTATGTCTCTTCCTCTTCGACGCTTTGTGGGCGGCAGATGAGTAGCGCGGGTAGGTGTTGATGGTGGAGGCGGTGAGAGTGCTGTAGCGACGATGAGGCAATGTGCTTGTCTGTCTTTTGAAAGGTCGCACCTTTCCCAGGCGTATAGAGCATAGGCTGCGGCATGTCGCTATTGGGCTGCGTAGGACTGCAAGCGAAGGAGCCTCGCTGTCCTTGTGCGACGACTGATTGATCCGCCCATGCCTCCTTGCCCTGCAAATGTACCTCCTCCGAGCTGGAGCCGGACGGAAGTCCGTACGAAAGACGTTTGAGCGCAGATTTGAACATG